TCCCCGTCACTCCAGCCTGACCTCCTTCTTTCTGATCCCAGGGAAACCTCCGCTACGGTTTCCTTCCAACACTCAGAAGTAAATGGATTCTGTCTTTGTCTTCACTTGCCTCGGATTTCTCACTCTTGTCCATAATATTTAGCTTTGAGATACTGTAGTCTTACAGCTTTGGAGTAACTGTTTTATGTTCTTTCTTTCAATTTTTACTGATTTAAGAGAGAGAGGGAGAGAGTGAAAGAGAGAGAAAGAGAGAGAGAGAGAGAAACATCAATAATGAGAGAGAATCATCAATTGGCTGCCCATAACTCAGGCATGTGCCCTGACTGGGAATTGAACCGTGACCTCCTAGTTCATAGGTTGATGCTCAACCACTGAGCATGCTGGCTGGGCTATTCTTTATTTTTAATCCTACTGCCTCCTGGATTTGATGCAGGTGCAACTTAATTTTTCCTCATCTGTGCTGCCTGCTTCCAGCACTTTCCCCTTCCTGCCAGGGCCTGAGTCACCCACCTCTCCACCTCTGGACTCCGCCTCAGGGTCAGAGCACCGCTTCCTGGAGCTTCACGCAGTCAGTGAAACGCACCAGCTCACAAGCCTGAGGTTGGTTTCGTTAGGAGACCAGATCCAAACGTGTCATCATCTATGTTTCAGACCCTCTGCCACTTGGCTCTGACTTTCTCTTCTCTAAACCATCATCATTTTTCACTCTTCACAGTCCTGACCAGTAGTCCCCCTGAGGTGGAAGTGTTCTAGACGTCTCTAGACCCCCTCCAGCCACCCTCCTCAACTTTCACATCTATATAAGGTCCGGCCTCACTGATGCCAATGGCTCAGGTAGACTCTTACTGAACACAGGCTGTGCTGCTGCAGATCGGCTGTTCCCTATAGAAATCCTGTTAGAAATGATGAGCCGCTTCTAGGCTGTCTCTCGGATACTCACGCGCTGACAGTGTTTCTGCAGGACGGGGCCTGTGCATGAAGAGCCGGAAGGAAGCTTAACTCACATGACTGAGTAAGGCCCTCTGCTTTCATTGTGACAGCTTGTGCCTAAAAAACATGCTGGTTCAGGGAATGAGAATAGAAATTTTCTGGGAAAATGTTTGGGAACCTTTATAGGCTGGGACATCTTTGTTTATTTTTATTATTTTTTTAAAAATATACTTTTATTGATTTCAGAGAGAGAGAGAGAGAGAGAAACATCAGTGATGAGAGAGAATCATTGATTGGCTGCCCCCTGCATGCCCCCTACTGGGGATGGAGTCTGTAACCGGGGCCTATGCCCTGATGGGGAAATCGAACTGTGACCTTCTGGTTCATAGGTCAATGCTCAACCACTGAGCCACACCGGCCAGGCTGGGCTGGGATATCTTTAAAAAGTTCTAGCTATATTCCCAAATGCACAACTTTCCTTTTCTTTGACCCTGTTGTGTCACTACATTCTTTAAAACACTAGAGGACTGGTGCATGAAATTTGACACTGGTGGGGGGGGTTGTCCCCTCAGCCCAGCCTGAGCCCACCCTCCCTCTCACAGTCCAGAAGCCCTCGGGATGTCTGACTGACAGCTTAGGAGCTGGCCTAAGCTGGCAGTTGGTCATTCACAGGGCTGCCATGAGCCAGGCTTCTTGGGAGCCCACTGACCTCCAGGGGGCAGCTCCTGCATTGAGCCTCTTCCCCCTGGTGGTCAGGGTGTGACATAGACCTGTCCTTCTGCTGCTTGGCCAATTTGCATATTGGCCTTTTATCATATAGGATATCTGCTCTGATTTGCTTTCTGAGACCACGGAGAAAAAAAACTCAAGGGGAGGCATTTTCTTGAGATAAGAGGGAAAGAGTAGCAAAGAGAGGTGTCAGGAAGAACCATCTGTGGAGAGGTACATGGGGGTGTCTGGGTGGAGGCGGTGTCTCCTGGAAGTGTGGGGGACAGAGGAGAGAAGTGGGGGTTCTGCATGCAGTGCCTTTGGGGACCGGAAGGGAGGTGGTGAGGAAGAGGCCGGGCAGACGCTCGCCAGGTGGCCCCCAGGACGGTCTGTGCGGTGGCCCTGGGTCGCGTGTGGGAAGAGGAGAGGAGCAGACGTCAGGGAGAGTGCGGGGTGACCCTGTGCCGAAGGAGGCCCAGCGGCAGGGGGGACGGCCACTCCCTCAGAGGGCCAGCCCATTCATCGAAGGACATCGGGGCTCTGGCTTGGCAGCTCCTAATGAATCACATCCACCAGCTGGTCCTGCCGGCAGCCCGGAGCTGATGTTGATCAGGCGCTTACCCCGTGCCAGGCCCCGGACAAGCATTTTACCTTCCATCCGTTCCACAGCCCTCCGAGGAGAGGCCGGGAGGTGGCGACCCTGTCGAGTTCCTCAGCTAGGAAACGGCAGACCCTGACTCCCCACAGGCCTGCGGGGTGCAGAGCTCACCACCGCGCTGGCCGGTGGAGGTGACTAGGTGCAGTCCCCACGTTTTATAAGTCCTCACTTATAAAACGTGGGGACTGCACCTAGCCCTGCTGCTGCTGGGTTGTTCATTTCTATGGATCTTTGCTCATTTCTATGGATCTTTGTGTCGGTCTCTGCAAAACGTATACATGGAGCTTAAAGCTGCATCATACAGGGAAATGCTATAACTCTGGAGTCTTTCCCTGACCGTTAAACCATTAACGCAGAGGAATGGAGTGTCTAGAAGAGAGTCCTTGAAAAGAGCCTAAAGAGCAGGGCTTCTAGAACGTTCCTTCAGACTCCAAGAGTATTTATGTTCAAAGATTTTGAAGAGAAGGTTACTCTATTTCTACGAAGTTCCAGGAGGAAATGTTAAGATATTCTGGGAGACACCAGGTATTTAAAAACAAAGTGACCCTAAGTGTTTGAAGTAGATGTGGTTCTGCAAAGCAGTAAGGGCCCCCTGGAGGCGCTGTCAAAGTGCAAGGAAGCGGGGAGCTTGGGGCCCTGAGCTGGAGCGTGTGCTTTTGGGTCTCAGGTTGCAGGAGAAACGCAGACTGGACTGACCTTCGGGGCTCTCTGGCTGGAGGCCCACTGACTTCTGGCCTCGCATCTTATGAAAGTCCGAGTTTCTATCCCTCCCTGTTCTGTGCTCTCAGCCTGGAGAAAGGAGTGTGTGTGTGAGTGTGTGTGTCTGAGTGTGTGTGTGTGTGTGTGTGTGTGTGAGTGTGTGTGTGTGTGAGAGAGAGAGAGAAAGTGTGTGTGTGTGTGTGTGTGTGTGTGTGTGTGTGTCTGTGAGTGTGTGTGAGTGAGTGTATGCGTGGCAGATGCTGGGCCAGGCTCTAAGGACCAGTATCTCCTTAAACGTCCTGGCTCGGGGGACGGTGGGGGCCCGGTGGTCCCAAGACCTGGGTGTGAACTGGGGCTCAGTTGCTTCTGACCTGTCTCACTTCCATCATTGGTGAAACGCCTCCCTCCCTCGCTGCACTGCCGCACCAGGCTGCCGTGAGAAGGAAGTAAGGCGTGCATGCTGATGGTTGGCATTATCGTGCATGCTGATGGTTGGCATTACATTAAAAGTGCTCGCCTGCTTGGGGTTTCAGATTTGCCCTTCGTTTAATTTGGCACCGATGATGGAATGTGTGTGAGGGGTTTAGAGGAAATGACGAGAGCTGTGAAAGGATTACACTTAACGGGCGCTTTGTTGTTGGGAACCGATCAATTAATCTGCAGGAGTTAGGGCCGAACTGTCCGTCCCCTGCCCTCTTACTCCAAGGCAGACGTGGCTGCCACTCAGAGATCCAGACTCACTGAGACGCACATACACAGCCTAGAAGCGCGTCCCTCTCCCATGTGACAGCCGGTTTTAAGAGACTGGGGAGCTCTGGACGGGGGGTTGGTAGGTTGAGTCAGGGTTCGGGGTGCCTCTATATTTTGTGTTCCCACGTGGCGGCTGCTCCAGCTCCATTCAGCAGGAAGGATATGACCATAGCCTCCCAGCCAGAACTGTTCACGCGTCCACACTGGGCTACAGGACAGAGCAGAACCCGGGATCTACGTGTTCAGATAAAAAAAAAAAAAAATCCGCTACTGTGTGAGGAGGGAGGCTGGATATGGTGGGTGGGCGACCAGCAGCCGGCCAGCAGCAAGGCTGTGCCCTGGGTTATGTCCTGAGCCTCCCTTTCCAGCACGGGAGACGGAAGACAGAGTGGTTTCCCTGAACCCACCTTCTGAACAGCTGTGGGATGACCCGGGGAGGAGGAGACGAGGAGGTGACAGCAGGTGGCCGAGAAGAGGTGACTGTGCTTATCTTTTGTTCAGGCTTTTGAAGCCATTTTTTAACTCCTGAAGCTACTTATACTCCTTTCTTGCTACACCACACGCCCTGTGCTAGGTGCCAGGGACTCAGAGACCAGGGTCCCTGCTCCCCAGAGGCCCACTCCCCCGGGACAGACAGGTGTGTCAGGCAATGAGGACGGGACTGTGTGGTGTGCACTGTGACGGGAGGGAGATGGGGCTGCAGGAGCTCAGAGGGAAAGACCTGCCTGCCTACCCGGGCGCGCGTGGGGTGTGTGTGTGTGTGTGAGTGTGTGTGTGTGTGGTGTAAGGCAGGGGTTGGCAAACTGCGGCTCACGAGCCACATGCGGCTCTTTGGCCCCTTGAGTTTTTAGCAAAGGCCAGCTTAGGAGTGCCCTAATTAAGTTAATAATAATGTACCTACCTATATAGTTTACGTTTAAAAAAATTAAGTTAATAATAATGTACCTACTTATATAGTTTACGTTTAAAAAATTTGGCTCTCAAAAGAAATTTCAATCGTTGTACTGTTGCTATTTGGCTCTGTTGACTAATGAGCTTGCCGACCACTGGCGTAAGGTAACTGGCCGCAGGAGGCTTCACCGGGGTTATATCTGGGTCACCTTGCTCAGCGAAGGGTCCCTGGCAGAGAACGACTGAGCTGCCCGGGGTTAACATGCTGTGCTTGAGTGTCACGCCCATGGCTTAACGTTTTTATTCCTGCTTCTCTGTCTAGGAACTCTCAGCGTGGGCACCAGGACCCTGTGCCACGGAAGCCATGCTGCCCCGCTGGGAGCTGTCTCTCTACCTGCTTGCTTCCCTGGGCTTCCACTTCTATTCCTTCTATGAGGTCTACAAAACCTCCCGAGGTGAGTGCCGGCGTTCCTGAACTTGCTTCCAGAAAGGAAGGTGGCAGGGAGCGCCCCGAGGCGGGGGATCCGGGAAGGTGGCCTCATGCTCCTGGGATGCTTTCCCCTCTTCTCGGACAGTTTGAATCAATGAGTCGGTGGAGTGTCCCACCCTAATCTTGGACGGTTTAGCTCAGTGGTCGGCAAACTGCGGCGTGAGAGGGAGTTTTGTTGGAGAGCTAGGTTGTCCATTGCAGCAGTCATTAGACACGTGGCTAATGAGCACTTGAAATGTGGCCACTCCCAGTTGAGATGTACTGTTAGAATAACATGCACATTGGACTTTGAAGAATTAATGAGTAAGGAAAAGGAATGTAGAGTAATTCATCCAGAGTTGTTTTATACTGATTCCATGTTGAAATAATGTTTTGGATAGATCGAGAAACTAAAATTAAAAGAAAATTAATTTCACTTTTTAAAAACTTTAAAAAATGTAGCTACTACAAACTTTAAAATTGTAGATGCGTATGAGGTAGTGTTTCAGTGGGACAGCGCCCCTGCTGGACCGGATCTCGTCATAACCCTCCAGACTGCACAGAAAGAATTCCCTTTTCCCTCTAGAGGGCGGTGTGCTCCAGCTTAGGTTATCTGGTGCTTAGCAGGTAAATGTCACTGCTTCTGAATGTACTCTTTTTAAAAAGCAGGGGGAATAATAACTCAGTTTCTGCCTTGTTTCAGTTCTTTATAATCCTGATGTTTCTGGAGATTTCTCAGGGTATGAAAGTGAGAGGTTTTCCACCCGGTTTGCCTTAATGAATTAGGAGGTTCCTGTATTTCTTTGTTGGATTGCAGTGTCTCGCTGTTCGTTTGCAGGCTTGAGTTTGTGCATGACACAGCACCTCAGCCCATGCACAGGCACTCACAGACACACACACACACACACACACACACACACAATGTGGCATGTGTGCAGCTGTAGCAGAAAGGACCAGGGCCCTGCTGCAACCACACACCTCCAGCGCACCTCCTAGGCCCAGGGATACTGTGTGTGTGTGTGTGTGTGTGTGTGTGTGTGTGTGTGTGTGTATGTGTGTGTGTGTGTGTGGCAGAGCTGTGCCACGTGGTACCCTGGCCCAGTGCTCCCTCCGTGCCCCTCCCTTTTCTGTCCTTCCTGAGGCACCAGCGTTGCCTTTGGCTTGTGGTTGGGCTGCAGTTTGCGTCTAGTGTGTGTGAATCTGCCCCCTGGGTTCCACTCGAGATCAGCATCGTTTCGTGATTACGTTTGAGTCCCACGCTCGCTCCGGTTTTCGGTGATCGTCCTGGGCAGCGCCTTTTGGTCTTCTGTGTTGTGGGGAGCTCCTTTTGTACTTCTGTTGGTCCAGTAGCGGTGGATTTCCTCGTTCTTGTCTGTGCACTCTGTGTCTTTTGGGTGATGTCAGTCTTTCTGGAGGCTTCCTCACTCCCCTTACACTGGGGTCTCCCGAGTCTTTATCTTCAGCTCAGGGCCCTCTCGAGCACCACCCACACCCACCTGGCTTCCTCCTGTTTGTCACCCAGACACCCCAGCCCAAACCCCACCTCCTCACCCCTGTATCATGGCGCCCAGCAGCACTACACTGACTTTATATTATTCGATTGTCTCTCTTACCTGGGGTACGGTAAGCCCCAGGCGGGCAAGAGACATGCCAGCCTTCTTCTGTTTCATTCCTGCCCGGTTACTGTACACCCTCAATACGAATCTGAATGAAGTTTTTATTATATTTCGTTTTATATCAGTTGTACTGTTTGCCTTATAAACATAGTTATTACTATTATACGATTCCATGGTGTAATCTTGTAGGCATTGTCTCACATCATGAGTGAGGCCTTGTTCACCATCACTGTGTGAAATGATCTGTTTATAAAAAAAAAAAAATATTATTTTTTTTATTTTTGCCCTGGCTGGTAGCGCTCAGTTGGCTGGGGCATCGTTCTGTGCACTGAAAGGTTGTGGGTTCTATTCCCGGTCAGGGCACATACCCATGTAGCGGGTTCGATCCCCGTTGGGGGCCTGTGTGGGAGGCAACTGATCAATGTTCCTCTCTCACACACATGTTTCTATTCTTCTCTCTCTCTCTCCTTCCTCTTTAAAATCAATAAAGTCATATCTGAGAGTGAGGATTGAAAAACTGTACATAAAAATATTTTACCACCTGAACAAATGGGACATCCGCATTAACCCCTCCGGGGAGGAGGGGGCGGGTCTCTGTGCTGGAAGCTTTCTCTCTGGACACCTCTCCCTCTGTGAGCCCATTCCAAGTGGGGGGGACGTTTCCAGCAGCCCCGCCACGGGTTTCCAGGAACTCAGCTCACAGAAAACTGGAGCGGGGGATCCAGGAGCGGACGTTTCCATGGCCGTAGCTCAGTCCACAGGCGGCTTTTCCAGAACTCGTTCCAGTTTCCCTTCGTGCCCCTGCTAAGAAACCAACCAGTTTCATTTGGGTTTGGAACTAACGGCCACCGTTTTTCCTGACAGAACATGAAGAGCAGCTGGACCAAGAATTTGACCTGGCGATTGGCACGTTGCTTGGAGGATTCAAGAAGGTACGGAGTGGCTAAAGAATAAGCCTTCTCGGTTTTCAAACCTGGCTCAGTGCTTTCCATCACTGTTGCCTTGGCACTGGCCCCGGTAGAGTGTTCATCAGCACTGGGGAATCAGGTGGGTTGCTGTGAAAGGAATGAGTACCATTTGGGTAAAGAATTCTCCGGGATCTTTATCTTCCTGTTTTCTTCTCAAGATTCCAGAAATCTGATTGTCTAACCCAGTGGTCGGCAAACTCATTAGTCAACAGAGCCAAATAGCAACAGTACAACGATTGAAATTTCTTTTGAGGGCCAATTTTTTTTTTAAACTTAACCTATATAGGTAGGTACATTGTTATTAACTTAATTAGGGTACTCCTAAGCTGGCCTTTGCTAAAAACTCAAGGGGCCAAAGAGCCGCATCCGGCTCGCGAGCCGTAGTTTGCCGACCACTGGTCTAGCCTTATCAGTGGGTATAAATTTCATTCTCACAAAGCTCAGGCACTTTCTCCTGACCTGGCCGTATCCATTAGGATTAAATGTGGCCCCCGACTTCCTTACAGCAACTGTTGGCAACTACATAGGAAATCCTTCCTTCCCGCCTCCAAGCATCCCTGAAGTTCCAAGGGTTCTCCTGCCTCGTCCTTAGGGGAGGGTGTTGGAGCTGGAGAAATTTTCGAACCCACCGCATATGTTGAATATCACTCCTTTCGTTTGTAAATTCTCTTTTTTAAAAAACAACAAAAAACAACCCACATTAAATGTATTAGGGTAACATTGGCTACTAACATTATATACATTTGAAAGAATGTGTACACCCCAATGTTCACTGCAGCGTTATTAACAGTAGCCAAGATGTGGAAGCAGCCCAAGTGCCCATCAGTAGATGAGTGAATAAAACAGTTGGGGTGCATTTACACAATGGGATACTATTCAGCTGTAAAAAAGAAGGAAATCTTACCTCTTCTGACAGCATGGATGGACCTGGAGAACATTACGCTAAGTGAAATAAGCCAGTCAGAAAAAGACAAGTGCCATATGGTTTCACTCCTGTGTGGAAACTAATGAACAAATTGAACTAACAAGCGAAATAGAGACAGACTCATAGAGAGCAGGATGATAGCTGGGTGAGGTGGGGCGGGTGGGGGGGAGTTGTGTGTTGGGGTGGTGGTGGAGGGATTGAGCAAAAAAGAAAAAAGAGAGAAAGGACTCATTGACATGGACTATAATGTGGTGATTGCAGGAGAATGGGGGTGGGTGGAGGTGCAAGAGAGTGTAGGGGGATAAATGGTGATGGAAAAAAAAATCATTAAATTTATCAAAGTAACATGGATTAATAACATTATATGCATTTCACGTGTACAACCTCATAACAAATTTATACCCCATTGTGTGCTCACTCACCCCTTTAAGTCTAGTCTCCTCCCTCACCGTATATTTGATCCCCTTTATCCTCTATTTATTCCTACCATTCCTTATGCCAATAAACTCTCCCGTGCAGCGTTAGATGTCAGTATTGAAGTTATCTGAATTGTAACCGAGTCTAGGACCCAGTTTCTGATTAGGTTCCGTCTAATGCTAACTCACTGCCTCTGGACGGCGGGCTCCCCATTTGGGCACATTCAGTGTTAAGACCATCCCCCCGGGAGGTGGAAGAATGAACTGTTACAACATGTCCTGTACAAGTGAACTAACAGGTGGGACCAGCAGAGAAGGAGGAGCAGAAGTTATTCCAGGATAGAGGGTTGAACCAGTGACTTGGAGCTGAAATTTGGAGAGATTGGAGGCGGGGAAACACTTCCTTCTCTCACATTCCCTACAAGTGGTGCCTGTCCACATTCTTCACAAGGTTATTCCTCTTAAAAATCATGTCCTGGCCGAAACCGGTTTGGCTCAGTGGTAGAGCATCAGTCTGCGGACTGAAAGGTCCCAGGTTCGATTCCGGTCAGGGGCATGTACGTTGATTGCGGGCACCTCCCCGGTAGGGGGTGTGCAAGAGGCAGCTGGTCGATGTTTCTCTCTCATCGACGTTTCTAGCTCTCTATCTCCCTCCTCCCTCCCTTCCTCTCTGTAAAAAAAATCAATAACATATATTTTTAAAAATAATAAATAAAAATAAAAACCATGTCCTGACAGTCAGTTGCTGTCTCGGTTAGAAATTAGGAGCCGCTGGGGGTAAGAATGAGCGCACGGCGCCCCAGTGAGATGAGATGTGAAGGGTGGTGTCTGTGGGTGGGGGACTGACTGAAGCCACTGTCCTAAGGTCCAGCGGGTGAGTTGTCCAGTGTTAATTTCACACCCAGGTTTCATGAAGGCAAACATCAGACCCAGTTCTGTCATCCGTGCAGACATTTGTGAGGCAGGAAGTAGAAACCAGTTCAGGCCAACCCGCCCAGCTCAGCGGGTGGAAGAAGTGGGTGGAGCCCCAGCCCAGTGGCAACTGCCAAAACTGGTCACCAGTAATGAAACCGGAGAGGTGTCCTATTGCAGGTTAATGTCTTTTTTTATAACCATTAAGGGTAGCCCTGCCAAGGCAAGGCCTCAAAAAATTGAGTATAAACTCAGAATTGTTCCTCTCCACGGAAATCTTTAGTAAAAGGCGAAAGATTTATGCGATCTGAAGAGAAACCAGAGTATGCTCAGCTCAGGGCAAATTCCCTCCTCCAGGATCTGCAACTCCTAGTTCAGTTATGGTGGCATTTTAGCTCTTGAAGTACTTTCTGCCTAAAGTTTGCACGAGAAACTTTAGAAACTTTAATCTCTTGTAGTTAGAACTGTCAAGTTAAAAAAAAAAGTTTTTTTCAACTTGAAAAGGATTGTACTCTGTGCAGGGTATTGTGGGTATGCAAATGAGCCTGAGTCATCACCCTTGAGGTTCTATAGATACCTTAGTCTCTGGGTGCCTCTGGAGCCGCCATTAGAGGGCGAGGCAGAGGTCAGGCTGCCTGGGCTCCAAACCTCACTCTGGTTCAACCACAGAAACTGGTTTTATTCCTTTTGTATATTGGGGACTCTGGGTACGGTTCCTCTTCTCTCCTTTTCCCAACCTCCAGCAATTTAGACACAGAACCATGGAGAGTGCCCTCTCATCATGAAGGCAAACCTCAGACCCAGTCTCAACCGCTGAGACACACTGGCTGGATTTTATTTTACTTTATTTTTTTTGCTTATGGATGACCTCTTGCTATAGCACCTTTTGTTGAAAAGATGATTCTTCTGTTGAATTGTTTTTGTACCTTTTGTCAAAAATATGTTGACTAGACCTGTGTGGCTCTATTTTTTGGGTTCTTGTTGCTTTCTTTGGATTGATGTTTGCAGTGTATGTATCCTTTTGCTTCCTTTTTTGCTCAACCTACCTAGATTGTTGTATTTAAAGTGAATTTCTTACAGACAGCCTAAAGTTGGATCATTTCTTAAAAATCCGCTCTGCCAATCCGCCTTTTAATTGGTACATATAAATTGACTAGGGCTCATTCCGCTTCTTGAATCTGTAGATTTATACCTTTTGCCAGATTTGCAAAATTTTTAGACGTTATTTCTTTGAATATTTTTTCAGCTCCATGTTTTTTCTCCTCTCTCTCTCTTTTTTTTTTTTTTTAAAAGGATTTCATTAATCACAGGAATGTTAGATCTTTTATAATTGTATCACAGATTTCCGAGGCTCTGTTTATTTATGTTTTCAGCCTATTTTTCCTATTATTCAGATTGTGTTATTTCTATTGACTTATCTTTAGGTTTGATGCTTCTTTCCTGAGTCGTCTACCTCTGCTAGTAAGCCTATCCAGTGGGTTATTTTATTTATTTTATTTCATTGTCATTCCTCAAGTCCTGAGGTCCCTTGCCGTCATGTCTTCTTTTTGCCATCTTTCGGGGCCTTCCTGTGCTTATCTTATAATTACATTCAGCTGTCCTTGGTGGGAAGGTTAGGGAGAAAGGCGTTTATCATCTCTCGCCTGGAACCAGAAGTCTCTGCGTGGAAGTATTTTAAAGTTAGTTTCAGACATCATAGAAAAGATAAGTCATTTTAGTAGCAAACAGATAAGCTTCTGCAGAAGAGATGCGGGGGCAGTGTATGCAGGCAATGGATGCCGGAGGCGTGGTGAGCCTTGGTTCTTGTTCTCGGTTGTCTCTGTCCTCAGTCTTAGAGGCGCCTTATCTACCACAATGGCTGCCTCTCCTAAGAGAAGCTCTGGGATGGGCGCGTATAGAAAGCCCGCACCCTGCCCCTCCGTGTTTCTCTTTTACTCTCACGCTATACTGCTAACACCAGTTGTGCGGGGGGCTTCCCTCCACCAAAGCAATTCTGTGACGCCAGTCGGGTGTCCCTCAGTTCAACTCAGTGCTGACCCTCTACCCGGAGATGGCATCAGATCCCACAGGGGAAGGGTTCAGTCCCACAAGATGCTCCCACCCACCTCCTTCCCATGCCAACTGCAGGCCCAGGTGGTACCCACGGCCCCTTCCTCAGCGCCAGCTAATTTGCTAGAGTGGCCCACCCGGACCCAGGAAAACATTTTCCTTACTGCTTAACAGTGTATTGCAAAAGGATGGGATCAGAAACGCGGATGATCACCCGGATGGGAGAGGTGAGGAGGCCCAGGTGTGGGGAGGGGTGCCCAGCCTCCAGGCCCTGGCCAGGCCCCCCACTCTTCCCAGAACCTCTACTGGTTCACCAACCCAGGAGCTCTCTGAACCCTGCGTTTTGGGGACTCTTATGCAGACTTTATCCCCGAGGCATGATCAGTCAGCCCCTCTCCCCTCTCAGAATGCGGTGTGGCACTGAGAATCCCAAGCTTCCACCCATGGCTTGGTCTTTCTGGTGAACAGCCCCATCCAGGAGCCTGCCCAGACTCACCTCATTGCAACAGAAAACAATGTTATCTCCCAGGAAGTCCCAAGGGGCTTAGGAGAACAAAAGATGCTCCTATTGCTCTTATCACAGGAAGTTACAAGGGTCTTAGGAGCAATGCGCCCCGTCACGGGTGCACCAGTGTACTTATTTTTTTATGATTTCACAGGGAGCGCTCTCTCTGAGAGCTCGGATAGCTAGCTGGTAGGTCAAGGGGACAGACTGAAATGATGCGTGGGAGAATTCTTCCACATACTCTGCTCACTTTCTTGGTCTTCCACCCCAGTGTGTGGGCTTCAAGGAGAAAAATGGTATCTGTGGCCCTGGTTGGTGTGCTCAGTGGTTAGAGCATAGACCCACACACACGGAAGGGTCCTGAGTTTGATTCCTAGTCAAGGGCTGCAGCCCCAGTCCAGGCATGTGCAGCAGGCAACCAATCCATGTGTCTTTCTCACATCTCCCTCCCTCCCTTCCTCCTTCCCTCCCTTCCTCCTTTCCTCCCTCCTTTCCTCTCTCCTTCCCTCCCTCCCTCCCGCTGTGTCTTAAGAATCATTGGAAAAAATATCCTCAGGAGAGGATTAACAACAACAATAACAAAAATGCTACCAGAGATTATGAAGAGCTCAGCTCTTCTTTCCCTGGACTGCAGGCAAGAACATTAACCTCTCCTTTCTCTCATTTATCCCTCCTCTCCTCCTCGGGGGCCTTCAGCGTTTTGGGATTCCATCTGGAGTTCCAGTTTCTCGAGTTTGCCCCATGCAAATATGTTACATATGAATTAGTTTTCTTGAATGTGTGAAGATTTTCAAGGTAGAAAGCAAGTTCTCCTGAGTGTGAGGACCATTTTAGGAACCATGGTCCCCAAAGGCCTAGGAACGATTTTTTTCTCCATGTCATTGTGACTTGTCTTTCTGTGTCCTGAGGAGTGATACGAATAGGATGTATAATAGGATTTATTAGTGTGGTTTGTAGTTGGGGAATCTCATGAGGTTATGTCATTTGCTATCTAGTCATCACGTTCTGTTACACTTTTTTGGGGTAGTAATCCCTAACTTATTGACCAGCCTTAGTAACTGTTTGCACCTCATTTCTCCATATACTGTATGTACCTTGTAGAAAATGTTTTGTTTGTTTGTTTTTTTCCAGTTTGAGGTTGTGAGGAAAATATCTTTTTTTGTGCCTTTGCCTTTGTACTAGAATTTAGTATTTCTCTTTTAGAATGTGATTCATTCTTTGGAAGCTCTAGGAAAAAAGGAGAAATGTGGACTAGGCAAACCAGGGAGACAGGATCTGCACTTGCTCAAGTATAGGCATATGTCTGCCATGATCTGGAGTGAATTCTAGGAAGTAGATAGGTAGCAGTGTACCAGAGGAAGTCACTGAGTTTATTATATATATATTTTAATTGATTTTTTTTTTTACAGAAACGAGGGGAGAGGGCTAGAGAGTTAGAAACATTGATGAGAGAGAAACATCTATAAGCTGCCTCCTGCTCAACCCCTACTGGGGATGTGCCCGCAACCAAGATACATACATGCTGTTGACCAGAATCGAACCTGGGACCCTTCAATCCGCAGGCCAACGCTCTATCCACTGAGCCAAACTGGTTAGGGCGGAAGTCACTGAGTTTAGGTTGGCAGTTAGGTTGAAGAGATTCAGAGAACTTCCTCACCTCAATTAGGATCTCTTGGTTTAATTAAGTCCTCGAGAGGTTTTCTCTTTCCTTCTACAAAACACCTCCCTGCCTCCTTTATACCCTGGGCCGATTTGCCTGGGCTAAATTATGAGGGCCTTTTAAGAGACTGGGATGGTACCTGGTAGAACAGTGCCCTTACGCTAGTCCTGTTGGTGGCATTCTGACCCCAGGGAGCAACTTCCCCTTTACCTGTTCAGGATGGGGAAGCCACTTAAGCAGAGATTTTGTTATTTCCGGGGGGGGGGGGGGGGGGAGGAGGGAGGGGCAAGTTTTGTTAATAAAACATTTTGTTTTTGAGGAAATGTTGGCTGGGGAAGGACTGTTGTCTCGGAAAATTGTGAGCAGTAAACTAATTTAGTTCAACTTATTTTAGAGAGAGCGAAGCGTCTATTGAAAGAAAAGCAAACTCTTGCAATAATTGCTAAATGAATCACTGGGCCGAGTTCATCCCGAGAGCAGTGCTGCTCCTGTGCAGAACTCACACAAATACGCCCTCCCTTTCCCTCTCTCCTCGGGAGATTTATAGGCCATTAAGGTGAGCGTGCCGCCGCCGTTCAAAGTGCAGGGAAATGTTTCCGGATTCAAGGACCTTGTAAAGGTTTCCTCAGAGCCCAGTAAACAGATTACTTTTGCTCCGTGTGATTGGGAATTAGTCACGGTCTCAAAGTAAATAATATGCACTTCATGTTATTTAGGAAATAGATAACACAAAAATGTCTAGCACTTCTATTGTGTTGCTTTTGTGGCTGTTGCAAAATTCTGGATGCAAGGATAAGGAAAACAGTAAATCTATTCAGTTCTGAACTGTCTGCTCGATCTGAGGAGAAAAGAGGCATGCTAGTGAGAATGACTGACTGGTAGTAAGTAAGGTGCATCCTTTCCTATTGGGTTTGAAACGCAAACCTAGATTCACTGGTGACTGTTCTAATGTAAACACTCACTGCCTCCATGATCCAGTTCCTGGACATCCCTCTGACTGACCTCGCTGCTGTCTTCCTCCATGTCATTTTCCTCCACCGAACAGACTTATTTCAGGAGTGTTTTCTGCAAAGCGAATTCTTTTCATAATGCTTCTATTGCAACCAGAAGAAAAATCCTTCCCAAAGTATGCTGATCAAAACAAACAAATAAACAAACAAATAAAACTCCAAAGTATGTTGATCAAGTTTCCAGGGAGACAACAGGTCCCGTTCCAGCCAGTTTAGACAGAAAGGAATTTATTGTGGGAATTTCAGGAGATGTCAGAATAGTAAAAACAAACAAACAAACAAACAAAAAAACTGTGGGGACAGGCACTAAGTGAGCTTCCAGTAGCAATTCCCAGAGTAGCCTGCAGCACTGAGGCTGCTGCACAGCTCACGACTGGAGCCCAAACTGCCACACCAGGAAGCTGGGTCCCGCCGACCTGGCTGGCCCTGGAGTCTCCTCCAGGGCTGCTGGGGAGCAGCCAAAGGGCCTCCGCCACCATTCTTTCCGGAGAGACTCACAGCCCATATTTCTTCATGTTCTTTCATCTTCAAAGTCTTCCACCAGAAGCAAGATCATATGACATGTGCAGACGTGCTAGCTGCAGGGAATTCTGGGAAATGTAGTTTCCCGCTTTCCAACCACCAATGAATAGGTGGGAAGTTGTACCAGCAGGGGGTTGGAGTGCGGACCGAGTCAACTGGTGGTGTCTGCCATATGGAGCAGACCTTCCTTTTATTATACTAGTATTTTGAGGAGAAAGGTATGATGGCTGTTTCCTATGGCATTTCAGATGTTTTAGTCTTTCTGGATGCTGATGTCCCCCTTTTGTTATCCATGGATTCACTCCTTTTGAGTCCACACATTTCTAGAACCTTTATCTTTCCTTTGTTTTTAAAATATGTTTTTATGGATTTTAGAGAGAAGGGAGTGGGAGACAGAAACATCAATGATGAGAGAGAGAAACATTATCGATTGGCGGCTTCCTACATCCCCCCCTCCCCCCCGCCCCCTCAGAGATCAAGCTTGAAACCCAAGCATGTGCCCTGACCTGGAACCAAACAGGTGACCTCTCAGTGCACAGGATGATGGCAACCAACTGAGCCACACCAGCCAGAGCCGTACTATGTATTTTATCACAGGAGCACAGGCTTTGCAGCCTGGGATCTGGGTTTTGAACTTGGGCCTTGCCGTTATTGGCTGCGAGACTTTGGGCATGATATTTCACCTCTCCCAGGGTAGTTTTCTTACCCTGCTGTGGGCAGACCTACCGTGTAGTAAATCCACACACAGTGGTGGGTTCTTCCCATTCTTGTGAAGAGGGCAGGCTGGGTGAGTAGGGAACTTTCTGGAACAGAGCAGGCTGCCAGTGTGGGTAGGAACCTGGAGACCTGGCTTGGTCACAAGGAGGTGAGCAGGGAGATCAGCCTTCTCTTGAAAGGTCACACGCAGTCAGGGGTCAAAGTTCCTGGGCATGGGGTGACCCACACCCTTAGTATTTCTTTCCTTTAGCCTGAAAAATAAATTTTTTCACTTTTGAAAGGAATTTTAGACATTGCACTAGTTCAGACCTTCATTTCCCACACAGGAAGGCTCAGGTCCAGAAGTTAAGTGCCTGGTCAGTATACACAGCAACAGACATGACTACAACTGGGCCACCTGATTCCACTCCCCACCACTTAAAAAAAATTATATATATATATACTCACACACACCATATATATATATATATATATATATATATATATATATATATATATATATATATATATATATATATAATTGATTTCAGAGAGGAAGGTAGAGGGAGAGAGATAACTAAGCTGAAATAAGCTCAGTTCATGACTTACACTGTGTGATGATGGGTAACAACTGAATTCTTTAAGCCAAGTTTCATTGTTTATAAAATGGGAATAATGATCATTTCTGTCCTGCAGAGGGTCCTGGGGAATCAGCTTTAACAAAGACACATATTTGGAGAATGGCAAGGAGACCAGCCACGCAGGAGGGGAGAGTGTATGTGGGTAGAGGGTCAGTAGGGTCAGGGATGGGAGTGTTATGTTAATCATCGTGGATCGGCTGCCTCCTGCATGCCCCCACCGGGGGTCAAGCTTGTAGAGTTTCGACTCCCATGTGGCCTTCTTTCCAGTTGGTTTATTAGCCGGAGTTTGTGTTCTGCCTCAGAATGTTCTGGAACCTTTCTGATAAATTCTGCTTTTGGCCTATGTAGGACCAGACAGACTTCGAGTGGAGCTTCTGGATGGAGTGGGGGAAGCAGCGGCTGGTGTGGCTCCTCCTTGGTCACCTGGCTGTGTCGCAAATGGCCAACCAGATCGCAAGGAAGGTATGCCTCTGCATGGTTCCCTTCTACGTCTCTTTCTCCTTTGCTTTTTGTGAAGAAAGGACCCTGAGCTAAGCATCAGTAGGCATGGATATGAGAATGAATTATTAATGATCGATTAGACATTTCAGGGACAAGGGGTAACACGTCCTTATCCTATACATACTTCCTTCCAGCTATTTTCCAAACCAATGAATGTAAAGGTTTGAAAGTAAAACTGTAGTTATCAGCATGGATGAATTTCTGGATTATGACATGGAGCTAATCAGGTAAGTTGTAGAGGAATCTGTCCGCTAGGATCCCATGTGTACAGAGCTCAGAAGTGTGCAAACTAGATTCACACCTGCAAATGTACAAAGGAAGATAAGAGAATGCATAATTAACATAACACTCAGGACAGTGGTCTCGGCTGGTCAGGGAGGGACGGAGAAAGAATTGGGCTGGGGTTGGGGGGTGGGGGGTAGATGCCCAGAGCCCTTCAGAGCACTGAGTGCCTTGTTTTTCTTAGGCTGCTGGTGGGTGTGCGATGCTATTTCATTATTCTTCGTACACCTCACAGACATCACAGATACTGTTTTCTGTGTGTACGAGATTTGATATATTTTTAATTGATCACGTGAGGAGAAGGTGAGGTGAGGTTGCCTTGGGCGCACTGAATTCATGTCCTGCCCACCCCACCCCTCTGCCATGTGCTTCAGGGCCTGAGTGCCCCGTCTGGTTGGCCTCCTTTGCTTCCCTCCTGTTCTTGCTACTACTTGTTTGTGACTCATAGATGAGTGTTTCTCTGGCTCTCTTCATTATAACCCGCCCCCCCCTCCCCCGCCAGGAGTCCTTTTAGCTGTTTTTCCTAATTGTCACTGCTCTATGAAAAAAAAAAAGGACGTTTTTCTTCAAGAACCAACTCCCCCTCCGTAGGAGGAGCTATGACCCGCATTGAGAACGTGAAATGTAGATGAACTCTAGGTTCTTGGCCAGGTGCTCCTTCCTCTTTTCAAACTTCCTGTTTTCAACTCTTATTTTGCACGTAATGACATCAGAAATGTTAGTGGTAAGTCAGAAAGAGGAACAAGGCTGGAGTGGTGAGGGATTATGAATTTATACCGTCCATCCGCACTCCACGTGGCTAAGCCTGGATGGCTCCAGCACCCGGTGATGGGAGTCAGTGGCTTTGAAAGGACTTTTGGCGGGCTTTTTTCTGGGCGGAGACTTCTTTATGCATACCGGGAGGGGAGATAATGAAATGTGCTCACCACAAGTGAAATGTGGTCTTCAGCAAAGGGAATGTCCATAGTGAAATAGCCAGAAAAGTCTGCTCTCCAGTGAGGAGTATAAGTTCACTTGATCAACCAAGCCTGACAAGAAGGTAGCAATTTTTAGGATACAAATGTTCTTTGTTTAATTTTCTTGCAACTTTGAGTTATCTTTCTGTCTCGGGAGGCAGTATTGGGTGTGGTCAGAGTGCTTGGCTGGCTCCAGCTTTGTGGGTTTGCCACGCAGTCTTCAGCAAGTTAGTTAAGACCTTTGAACTCATGTCCTAATTTGTGTAACAGGGATGGGAGCATTTGCTTCTTGGGGTAGCACTGAGGATCTGATGTTTTTCAAGGCGATGCTTGCATGTGATGACAGCTGAGTAAATGGTGGTGGCTGCGTGTGCTCCTGGGAGCAGTCCCTCCACGGTGTCCAAAACAGGAGGCGACGGTCTTGAGATCCCACATCTTCAAGAGCAGAGGCTGTCAGTGCAGTCATGCCAACACTCCTCTCATGAATGTCCTTCTCAGACCCTGACCCTGCTTCAAGTTAGCGATTCTGTGTGTGTGTGCTGGGTGCTGGGGAAGGGACTGGGAGACACGCCCCTTCCTTTGGAGAGCTGAGTGAGAGGTTACCTAGGAAGTGAAAAGCTGGTCTCAGTCTGGACCTCATGTGGTGGTGGACTGGGTGCCGGGGGAAGGAGGGGTCACCTCTGCCTTGGGGGGGGCCGGGGGACAGGCCTCCCCGGATGGGGCTTTGAGCTATGGCTTGAAGGAAGTCGAGTTGTTCGCTTACTTCAGCTTGGCATCTCATTCTCAGGCAGGGTGCACAGGCAGACCTGTCTTTATATATATTAAAGAAATCTCTTTCTCTCTCTCTCTCTCTCCTCCCCACCTCCACCTCCCCCCAATATATATATATATATATATATATATATATATATATATATATATATATATATATATTGATTTCAGAGAGGAAGGGAAAGATAGAAACACCAATTCTCTCTGAGAGAGAATCATTGCTCGGCTGCCTCCTGAATACCACACTGCAGATCAAGCCCACAACCCGGCATGTTGTGGAATTGAACCATGACCTTCTGGCTCAACCACTGGGCTGGACCTGTCCTTTTATCTGCAGAACACATGTCATCCAACGTTAGTAGGAGGTGGCTTTGCATTTTTCTTGGAATGAGGCAGAGTTCACAGAGGCGTGTGTGTGTGTGTGTGTGTGTGTGTGTGTGTGTGTCTCGTCCTTTTTGGGACCACAGGTTTGATTTGTGCGGCAGCTGGCTGGGGCCGGGGCACTCTTTGTGCGAGCCTGCTTGGCCCTTAAGGAAGCATGAACCACAGTGTTGGCCTCAGGAGCTCAGAGCTTTCACCACCTGGGCTACGGGTCCCAGATGGCCCTCGCTCGGCGGGTGTTCTGGTACTTGGGGTGGAAGATCGGGACCGAGTTCGTTTATGTCCCTGTCCTCGGAGGCATCCTGGACCAGGACCAGCACAGAGCAGGGCCAGGTGTTAGCGATTCTTGGTGGTACAGCCCTGAGACCCTGAAGGGCACTTAGCCATCTAATCTCGTCTCTGCCCTGGCAAGCCCTGCCTCCTTCCAAGGAGAGGCAGGTTATTTTCAAAAGCGTAGTTTCCTCTCTTTCTTTCTTTGCCAGGACAAGCAATAAAACTTTCCAGCGAGCTCCTTGGCCGAGGTTAAAGGCCTTTTCTCTGGGCAGGGCTGTCTGGGCTTCGGTGACGGTGCCCGGGCCCCGTGCCCGGGGAGGGGCGGCCGAGCAGCGGCTCTGGGCCCGGGCTGTGGTTTGTTATGATTGGCGGGTCAGACAGTCCCTCCTTTTCTCCAACACCCCTGTGGCCTCCCCACCACCTGAGACGTGGTGTACTCGGCCCTCGGAACGGAAACTAACCCTGCAGGGAGGTTCTGAGAAGGCCGCCCGGGGTGGGGGCTGCGGGTTGGGGCTGCTGCTAACCACAGGACTGTTTTCACTTTATCCGAACCCAGAACCCACATCGTTAGCATCCGGGCCCGGACCGCTGAGCTCACCGGCCGCGGGGCCGAGAGCGTGTTGGCTGAGATGAGTCAAGTCACCGCGGGAGGGCGCTCCTCCCCGCTGGGTACCGAGACGGCGCACCTCACGGGGATCTCAGGCTTTAATGGCTTTCCTGGGACCCGGCTCTTCCTCCTCCATCTGTGCACATCCCGCGAGGGATGGACGGCCCCCTCGCCCGCCTTGCTCCCTGGAGGGCCGGGGGGAAAGCAGGCTGGACTGCAGCCCTTTGGACTCTGGGATGGTTTTGTTTTTCTCCCTGTTTGTTTGCGGAGACATACAGACATATTTTTCAGCAGCGGCTCCCTTTGATTATGTAATACCCTAGGCCAGTGGTCTGCAAACTCATTAGTCCACAGAGCCAAATATCAACAGTCCAGCGATTGACATTTCTTTGGAGAGCCACATTTTAAAAAAACTTAGACATCTTCTAATGCCACTTCTTCAGAATAGACTCGCCCAGGCCGTGGTATTTTGTGGAAGAGCCACACTCCAGGGGCCAAAGAGACGCATGTGTCTGGCGAGCCGCCGTTTGCCAACCACGGCCCTATGCCGTGTGTCCGGATATCAGGGTCACTGGTGGACTCCTTTCATTTCTTCCTCAGACAGTGCCCCGCCGGGTGGTTTTCAGGCAGACGCGGGAGAACGAACCCACAGCTAAGTCTGGTACAGCTGCCAACAGGAGTCCTCACCGAGGCTTTGCCTTTTCGTTTCTCCCAACAGAGATGATGAGGGAAACCGCTCAGGCACATCCTATGACCAGTCCGTGCCCACAGTCCAGAAAAGCTAGAGCAGAAGAGAAAGTCGGGGTGGTGTGAGCGGGGGCATTGCCAGCCAGCTCCCCCTGACTCCCTTTGAAGAACGTCTGAAGACGGTAGATTTGCAAAAGGAAGGAGGGGCTCCCCCCCCCCCCCCCCCCCCCCCGTCTGTTCTCAGGGGTGCTGCTTTCAGCCTTGGGCATGCGCCAGCTCAGCTGGTTTGTGCCGGGAGACCTCACTGGGGCGGTAGGCAGCAGTTCTACAGCAAGGTCTGCTTCCAGAGGCGGAGCCTGCGGGTGGGGGTTGGCATCTCAGGTCTGCCTGTGCACCCTACCAGGTGCCAACTGAAAGATGAGCTAGAGGGCTGGAGAACCAGGACACAGGCTTTATTGGAGGAGAAGACTCCTGCCAGGCTGCCTTCCAAAGGGAGAAAGGGCACGTGTGCTGGGGTGAACATGCCTTTTGAGGAGAGGAAAGGGAAGGGATGGGGCTTAGATACTCGGCACATGCTGATTGGTGGTTTCATGTAAGGCACATGATTAGGGATTTAGGAATCGGGGGCTTAAGGTATTTGTCAGGTACTGATTGGTGGTTCAATGTACAGTCCATATAAGGTGCCTGGTTAGGTGTTCAGGAATGTCCGTGCTACAAATGGAAGTTACATCGTACTCCGTCCATCATTTGGGGGAAGGGAGGATCTATCACCAAGCTGAGATCCCCTCAACAGAAAAGAGCCCTGAGTGCGGGGAACACACAGCAGGCAGCGAGGTATGGAAAGACTCCTTTCTGTTTCAGATGCAGTGGCAAAGCAGCCTTTATTTATAAGGGGTTAAATGGTAGAAATAGAGACTTTGGAAAATAGCAGGATTTCACATTAGTGGATCAGAAAGTCCAAAAATGTTGGTGCTAATTTCTTGTTATATCTTAGAAATAACCACCGTGTTAAATCCCAAGACTTGGGGAAACATATTCATCCACCTATCCACCCATTCACCCCTCCTCCCATCCATCCATCCATCCATCCATCCATCCATCCATCCATCCATCCAGTGTTTATGAAACACTTGCTATGTGCTAGGTACCCTGTTGCATTCTGGGCTTACATTCTTATAACATGAACATGACACGATGTTAGTCTTGGAAGGCATGGAAGGCCACTCACCCTACATCAGGATTTTAGTGGAGTTTTGTGCCTGGGATTACAATCGCATTTTAAAAAATGTATCTGGGTTGTTCCCCTTTCCCCCAACAATGTCCCCCTTCGAACCCACGCCCTCCCCCTCGCCCTAGGCCTTCACCACATATCGCCTGCGTCCATGCATTTTTATAGACAAAGGGATGAAAATTGGTATTTTATAGATGCCTCTTTTGCATCGTCCACACCTTTTCCTTTCCATCGCCCGTTCGCCATGAACATATGCAGTAGATTTGCCTTTATCCATGGGTGAGAACGGGTGGGCGGCATGAGGGTTTGCAGAGAGCACGAGGTGAACGAGAGAGCGTTTTCTGTGAAGTCTTAGCGAGGACGACGTGAGATGTCACCTACCTGGATGGGTTGGCAGGAGGGAGACAGCGGGGGATGGGGTGTGGGACCAGCTCATGTGCCCCCCGGTAGCCTTGGCGAGCATGGGGAGCTCCTCAGGGAATCTCTCCAGCACATGGGGTTTGCACAGCACCGTGAAGTATTTCCTGAAGGTTCGTTCAGCGTTTCCAAGTTGAAGCAGCTTAAGCCTGTGGTTAAATTCCCAAACGAATCCCAGAAAACGGGCTTTTTCCAAATGGATCAAGTAGCACTTAATAAAAACTGTGGCTGTGTATGTGTGCCTGTTCGTAGCATGAAACAATCCCAAGTGGTAAATAATGCTGTAGGTCATGCTGCAAAAGAACCCTCACCCCTCCTTTTTTCTTTTTTTTTTTAATTTTTATTTGTTGTGACTACTTCTTAAAGAACACTCTCTGGCGACCTTGTTTCTTATACTTGCCCTCTGCCCAGAGGTGAGTGTTTCAGGGAAAGTTTGAAGCAGATTTATGTGGCTGTTTTCTGTGGGCAGTAGGACGGAAAATAGTAAAAATGAACTGCAGATTTCTCTGATTTTCTTGGAACTTGAAAGTGGCTGATGTAATCGCTCGTTTAAAATGTTCTCTCTTGAGCTGGAGTATAGGTTTGGGAAAAATTGTACTTCAGCAATTTTTTTTTTAAGTGTTAACATCTAAATGGGATTTACAATTTATAGCCCCCATCTGCCTTTCCGTTAAAGAAAGCTTTTTGTTTTTACAAGAAGACATTCCTGGAAACCATATTTTATGTGCACGCTGAAAAGACACATCCTTTCTCCCTATAGGATTACAACTAAAGTTTCCACTGTACGTCCTGTGTATGCAGACACCATTGTAAGCATTTCACATGCATTTACTTACTAAGTCCTGACAGCAACCTTCTGAAGTAGGTGCTGGTATTATCCTAATTTAAAAAAAAATATATATTTTATTGATTTTTTTTACAGAGAGGAAAGGAGAGGGATAGAGAGTTAGAAACATCGAGGAGAGAGAAACATTGTTCAGCTACCTCCTGCACACCCCCTACTGGGGATGTGCCCGCAACCAAGGTACATGTCCTTGACCGGAATCGAACCTGGGACCTTTCAGTCCACAGGCCGATTCTCTATCCACTGAACCAAACCGGTTTCGGCTATCCTAATTTTATATATGTGGAAAAAAAAAAAAAAAAAAAAAAAAAAAAGCCCGAGACACAAGAGACATGAAGCAGCTTCTCTAGGGTCACTCAGCTAGTTAACAGGGACACTAGGATTTATTTAGGCAGTTGGACTTAAAAGCTTGAGTAATTAAACCACTATGATATGTTGCCTTTCAAACACTGTTAAACATCCTTGTGGCTTTTAAGCGAGCCAGAGATGACCAAGAATTTATCACAAAAGCAGAAATATGCGAATTTACCTATTTAGTTACTCAATGGCAATCACAATAAAACTTGATAATTAAATAGAAAGATATTCTCTGGTTCTTCTAAAAACAAGACAGTGTTTTATTTATTTATTTTTTAATATATTTTATTGATTTTACACAGAGAGGAATTGAGAGGGACAGAGAGTTAGAAATGTTGATGAGAGAGAAACATCGACCAGCTGCCTCTTGCACATCCCCTACTGGGGATGTGCCCGCAACGAAGGTACATGCCCTTGACCGGAATCGAACCTGGGACCCCTCAGTCCGCAGGCCGACACTCTATCCAGTGAGCCAAACCGGTCCTGGCAACAAGACAGTGTTTTAATCGGGTTGACTGTGCAAAGACCTCAGTATCACAGAAAACAGAGAAGATACACGTTTTCTGTGACACAAATCAGGCTATAAACAATATGCTAATAAAGTGAAAATGTAATTAAATATTTAATGCCAAATCTGCGCTTTAGACTTTAAAAGCCTTCTGTGGTTTGGGCGGCTCGGATTTCTCAGTGTGACTCCTGGGAAGTGCTCGCCAGTACATGCTGTCACCTTCCCTTTTGCAGGGTAGTGTGTGCAGGGCGTCACCAAGCATTAGCCTCTCGCCGGTGGAACCTCCCATAACAATGCCCCTTAGCTCACCCTTACCCCCTCCCCTCCCTCGTGCCTCTCTCACGGGGTCCTCTGTCCACAGCACAGACCCTGGTTCCTCACCGCCTACGGCATGTGGGCCTGCTGGTGTGTGCTGGGGGCCCCTGGAACGGCCATGATCTTCCTCCACACCGTCATCGCCTTCTGCGTAGCCCAGTTCCGGTCACTGTTCCTGACATGGCTCTGTTCTCTCCTCCTGCTCTCCACGCTGAGGCTGCAAGATGTGGAGGAAATTAAGGTAAGTGTCTCGGTTGGGGAGGAGAAGGTCCCTTGGGTGGTGCCCCCATCCTGTAGTTCCCCTTTTATTCAGGCAACAATTGAAGAACTGTGATCGGGCTCCTCCTAGTGGCCACGAGCGGTTGATGCACGTTGCATTCTGCAATCATCTTTCGTAGCCATATAAGTCTGAGCCCCCTGAGGCTGCACAGGGCTAACCTTGAAGCTGTGTCTGAGCCCTCTGAGCTTGCACGGGGCTAACCTTTTTCTTCCAGTTTGGGTAGGCATGGATGGTGGCACATATCACAGGAGCAGAGGGTCAGCAGTAGAGAGAAAAGAAAGCAATAGTTCCCTGTGCATTCCATCAAAAGCCAGCTGGAGAGTGCTGTACAGTTTACAGGAAGCTCTCACATGCCTTGTCTCATCTGGCACCCACGATGGCCTCCGAGACTGATAAGGCAGGTATTTCTTTGCGTAGAAAATTTTGGGAAGTTTTTTTTTTTATATATGTTTTCTTAAATCACTACAGAGCTGGAATTCCTGTGGTGTCTTTATTTTTGTTCGTTCATTCATTCGCTCATTCATTGATTCACGTGATGGCACTTAGACTTCGTGTGCCGTGGATGGGCACCTGATGGGAAAGATGAGCTAGTGGGCAGTCCGTGTGACATTTTTAAGCCTCGCTTTGTCTCCAGAATTGTTGGAGGAGCTGTCACAGGGTCCATTGGTTGTGGCTAACCTTCGGGATACCCACTGGATGGATCCGACAGGTGCATGCTGGGAAAACCTTCCCTATGTTGCGTCAGGCTTAGTGCTGAGTTGGTGGTTGGTATTAGAGACACTCTGCTGCCCGCTGCTCTTTAACCGCTAGTTTTGGTTCCCGCGGACTTACCTGCCGTCCAGTGGTTCTCGGCTCCCTTTGTGGTACTGCGGCTCTGCCTGCAGAAGAAATCCCCTTCCGTGGAGACTGGGCCACGTCCCTCCTTGCCACTCACGGGCTGTTCTTTCCCGGCGGCTTTGCAGAGAGGGTGGTACAAGACGGAAAACGAGTACTACCTGCTGCAGTTCACGCTGACCGTCCGCTGCCTCTACTACACCAGCTTCAGCCTCGAGTTCTGCTGGCAGCAGCTGCCCGGCGGGCGCACCTTCTACTCCCTCCCCTGGATGATGGCCTACGTCTTCTACTACCCCGTCTTCCACAACGGGCCCATCCTCAGCTTCCCCGAGTTCGTCGGGCAGGTAGGCCCCTGGGGATTGGACTGGTGTTCTGTAGGTTCAGCCTCTGTCCTTGTTGCCATGTTCATGTAAGTGACCTCTGAGTTTTTGTCTTTTCTAAAATATATATTTTATTGATTTTTTTACAGAGAGGAAGGGAGAGGGACAGAGAGTTAGAAACATCGATGAGAGAGAGAGAGACATCGATCAGCTGCCTCTTGCACACTCCCCACTGGGTATGTGCCCACGACCAAGATACATGCCCTTGACCAGAATTGAACTTGGGATCCTTGAGTATGCAGGCCAATGCTCTATCCTCTGATCCAAACCAGTTAAGGCCTGAGTTTGTTTTTTTTTTTTTTTTAAAAAAGTATATTTTTATTGATTTCAGAGAGGAAGGGAGAGGGAGATAGAAACATCCATGATGAGAGAATCATTGATTGGCTGCCTCCTGTATGTTCCCTACTGAGGATTGAGCCTACAACCCGGGCATTGCCAGACTAGGAATTGAACCATAATCTCCTGGTTTATGGGTCAGTGCTCAACCATTGAGCAACACCAGCCACACATAGTGCTCACAAGTTTAAATCACATTATTGTCTTGACTTTTAAAAAATATACTTTTATTGCCGAAACCGGTTTGGCTCAGTGGATAGAGCGTCAACCTGCGGACTGAAGGGTCCCAGGTTCAGTTCTGGTCAATGTACATTGGTTGTGGGCACATCCCTAGTGTGGGTTGTGCAGGAGGCAGCTGATTGATGTTTCTCTTTCTTCGATGTTTCTAGCTCTCTATTCCTCTCCCTTCCCCTCTGTAAAAAATCAATAAAGTATATTTAAATATATATATATATATATATATATATATATATATATATATACTTTTATTAATTTAAGAAAGGAAAGAAGAGGGAGAGAGAGATAGAAACATCAATGTTGAGAGAGAATCATCGATTGGCTGCCTCCTGCACACCCCCACTAAGGATCAACTGATTCATGGGTTGATGCTCAACCACTGAGCAACACCGCTGGCTGTCTTGATTTTTTTTTTTTTTTAATGTAAGAAATACTTCAGGAAAATCAGCCCTCAAAACAAACTCGACTTGTGCCAACCCTGATTCTCGAGGGACTGTGACAACCAGGTTTAATAACTGGGCAGGGGAGGAACTCTTGGGGAGCCCCGCAGGACAGTCCCAGGGAAAGAGGAAATTGGGTCCTCCCGGTCCTGCTTGCAAAGTAGTAAGAGAAGCTGTCTAAGCTGTTGATTGGCAAACAGCATGCTCCCTCTTATTTTCACAAACTGCCATAGCCTGGGAACTGCTCAGGGCGATGGAGATGGGACGGAGGGTGGAGCTGGAGGGCTGGTGGGCAAGTGTGTTTTTTGCGTCTGGTGCCCGTGTCTGCCAGGACCCTGCTGGCCTTCTCTCCACAGCAACCTGGTTTGAAGCACATGTCAAGCCTCCTTCCTCATTCCCACCTCACTTTTCCTCCCACTTAGGTTTTTCCTTATTCCACAGCCAGCCTCATGGAACATGCTAATGCGGTTAATTCACTTCAGTGTTAGGAATTGAACTCCTAAAACGGCTTTTCTCAGGGAGGTTCCTACCTCTCACCATCAAAACAAAATCCTGCCGAAACCGGTTTGGCTCATTGATAGAGCGTTGGCCTGCGGACTGGAAGGTCCCAGGTTCGATTCCGGTCAAAGGCACGTACATTGGTTGTGGGCACATCCCCAGTAGGAGGTGTGCAAGAGGCAGCTGATTGATGATGCTCTCTCATCAATGTTTCTAACACTCTATCCCTCTCTCTTCCTCTCTTAAAAATAAATAAAATATATTAAAAAAAAGAACCCCAAAACAATGATTGAAGCGAGGAGAATAACATACATGCACACACTACACACCTGTACACGCAGTACATGTCTACGCATAGAGAACACACACATGTACACAGTACACACACGTGCAGGCCCACATACATTCATACACAGACACACACGCACACATTCACACACATGCATACATGCCTAGAAGTGCGGTTCAAAGTGCAGAGCCAATGTGGAACATTCTCAGAGGAGAACACGAAACGTGACCCCTGGGAAAGTCAGAGGGTTCTTAGACATCCCTTAATTCTGTCTTAAAAATTCCACTGTCCTCGAAAGTATATTCCTGCGGGATAACAATACGTCTTGTTTTAGAAGTGCCCGTTAAGTTATTTAGCTGTTTTTCCTCCGCACCTCTGTAGGTGGCCTTGGTATTCTGGGCAGACACGGCTTAGCATGCGGATTTGCATGCCGCAGTGTGGGCTGCATAGGATCCTTCTTTTGTCCCGAAGTAATTTTAAATCTGTTTGCCAATTCTGTTCAAAATTATTGTGTAAGACAGAGATGGGCAGTGATGACAGCGGATCTAACCCCCTGTTCTCAAAGTGTGTTCCCTGGACCAGCAGCACCAGGGTCACCTGGGAGCGTTGGTGGCCGAGCAGATTCTCAGGCCTCGCCCAGACCTGGCTCAGGGCGGGGATGGAGCGGGGCCCAGCCCCGTGGTTTCACAGACCCTCCAGGTGGTGCTGATGAATCTGGAGGTTGAGAACCACTCTCCTAAGTGCCTCAGAAGATTGGGGTACGGGGAGGGGGGGGAAGGGGAGCGGAGGTGGAGGCACAGGCCTTCCAAGTTGTCTCTTTTACAGTCTCCTCACCATTGAGAGTTTTTAATTCTTCCCAACGTTGCAGTCGATAACTTTTGGACCAAACACCCAAGTCCTCCTCCCCCCCAACCCCCCAGCACCTCTCTGAAGCCAGATAGTGATCTCAGAGAAACATGGAAACATTATTTTCCTAACTAACTGCCTCCTGTCCATTGAGGAGCTTGGCCCTGTAGGAGGTGCGCTTGGGGGGGTCAGGCGGGGACCTGGGAGGCCAGGCAGGTCCTCTCTCTGTCGCTCAGAGGTGAGCTTTGAGATGACCGCCACCTGAACTCTCAGCCAAGGGCACCCGTTCTCTTGAGTTTCAGTCTGGGGAGGAGGATACCTGGTGTCTTCCCCCAGGGACCCGGGGGTGGAGCCTGGGTGGCATCTGTGCCCTGGCTCTCTCTTTTCTAACCCTTTCAAATTGGACGTAATTTTCCAAAGCAGGAAACCTCGGGAAAACGAACGGAAACCTTTGTCTACAATCGAGGAAGTCTCATAGAGAAGTTGGTCTAGAAAAGGCACAGTGTGCAGTGAGCTACAGGGCACAGGAAAACGCAGCGGGGAGGTTTCTGCAGAAGCCAGAGGCGCCTGCGGTGCACTTACCTCCCAGGAGAAAAGGGTGGAAAGGGTGCGGCTGACGTAGGAAGCTGATCTAGTGGTGGAAGGGGCGTTTCAGAGAAGGGAAAGGCGGGGTGGTGGGGGGGAAGGTTAACTGGAAGGACTTGTAAGCAGGGCTCGCTCTGAAGGACTGTCACACCGACTCCCAGTTCTTAGACGCACAGGTCCCCGCTTACCAACTCCCGAGAGCAGGAGGTGGAGCTGCGCCACCAGGGGGCAGCAGAGTCCCACAGAGAAATCTGCTAAGAGGACCTTGGCTGGGCACAGCCCTGGGAGAAGGTATCTCTCATCCATTGCGTACAGTGGTCTGTTTGCCGCTCTGTTGACTAATGAGTTTGCCGACTACTGTCATATTACACCCTTTACCTCTTTGCACACAATATGCCACCATTGTCTAATCCTCACAGCTTCCAACTACATGGTAACATTTAGTCTAGTCCAGTGGTCGGCAAATTCATTAGTCAACAGCGCCGCAGTTTGCCGACCACTGGTTTAGCACATACATGGGCACACACAAGATGAGGGACGTAAGGAAGAGGTGTCCTCTGTCATGGGAGGCACGTGGCGTTTGCACACAGCCATCAGGAACAGGTGACACTTGCCTGTTAACAGGCCTCCCCATGCCTTCACTTGAGGGTCACCTCTGATGGCATTTGAAGTTCCAGGCTCTGTTTTTTACTTGTTTGTTTGCTTTAATCTCATGGCCTATCGAATCCAGATACTGAGCTAGGGGGGGGGGAGCCTGGGCGGGGGCCCGGGGGCCAGGAGGGAAAGGCCGGACGTGCTCTTTGTTTGCTCAGTGAGGAGCCCGGCCACCACACCTCCCTCTGAAGAGCTTGAATCGCTCAGTGGGGGCTGGAGAGTGTGTGGTGAGTTACTCACCTTCCCTGTGACTCAGTTTCCTTTATCAGTTAAGTGGGAAGAACAATAGTACCTCCCTCGCAGCCTTGAATAGGGATTAAACAAAACGAGTGTGTATACGGAGTGTGGCTTGACCCATGGTTAACACTGCGAGGTGTTAACCATTACTGTTACTGTTACTCCGGGCATTCTGGGGTAAGTTTAGGTCAGAACGGAGACCCCGGGTGTCCAGCCAGGTGGGTGCAGCAGCAGGGAGTTCTGGGTAGTGTGCTGGTTTTATCCCTGCGAAGAGAGGCCCAGGCAGTTGCTGCAGGTCCCTGAGAGGCGGGGGCTGGCAAGAGCCGGATAGACAGTCAGTGTCCCTGACACACTGCTCGGGGTCTGGAGTGGGCTCTGGTTCCAGCATCGACCTGGAATAAATACGGATTGTAAGAAATAATACCGGCTGAGCACTTGCTCCGAGCCAGGCCCTAGGAGAGAGCTGCTGTGGTTACTACCACTTTACAGGCGGTGACGCGGAGGCAGAGAGAGCGCATTGGGGTGGGAGGAGTAATGGAGGGAGCCTTTTCCTGCCCATGTGCCGAGCGCCGGGCACTCAGAGAGAAGGTGCAGCGTGGTTTCTGGACATGCGGGTCCGGAGGCTCAGGCCGGCCAGACCAGGCCCAGTCCTGGGGCAGCGGCACCCGCTCGCTGCTCTGGCAGACACCAGCCTGGGAGTCTGGACGCCTGGGGAGGGGCAGCCAGGGTCTGCCTGGGGAATGGCTTGCTGTGAGCAGAGGGATCACCTGTGGCCCCTGGCTGGCCACAGAGGGGTAAGCCGTGACTCCGATGCCCTTGATCCCAACGCAGAGATTGGCGACCGGGAGACACAGGCGAACGGCCGGCTCAGGGAAGGCGTCCCTTCAGGCTCTCAAACACTCGTATTATTCCTGTGAGGAGGAAAGGAAGTCTTCCTCATGGAAACTGTCATCTCTCATCATCATTCAACATTCCTTTTTATGCAATTTGCATGAGATGAGGTTTTAAAATACAATTTGCTTTAAAATGCACTTTGCAGACGAGCTAACGTGCATTTTTTGAATGCCCGCTGATGGCAGTTTCCAGTGGTCTCAAGGTTGGCACGCCCCCGGGTTGGAAATATCTCGAATGAATTGCTTTGCACGCAGACAGGAGAGCAATCTCCTCGTTAGGTGAGCTCTGGACAGCACGTCCTTTCTTCCTGCCGGACTGACAGGGACTGAGGCTGATTTTTTTTTCTAAGTCAAAGGGAGGCTGCTAGACTGAAGTTAAAAATAGACTGTGATAATGACCCGACTCTGAAGAAAGATAACCACTTTAAAAAATATGTATTTTACACTCTGGTTTCTCTTCAGATCGCATAAATCTTTCGCCTTTTAAAAAATATGTATTTTATGATTTTTTACAGAGAGGAAGGGAGAGGGATAGAGAGTTAGAAACATGCATGAGAGAGAAACATCCATCAGCTGCCTCCTGCACACTCCCCATTGGTATGTGCTCGCAAAACCAAGGTATATGCCCTTGACCGAAATCGAACCCAGGACCCTTTAGTCTGCAGGCCTATGCTCTATCCACTGAGCCAAATCAGTCAGGGCACCACTTTTTTTTTTTTTTTTTTTTTAAATCATCACTCAAGGGCATACTTTTTATTGGGGGGGGGGGAGAGAAAGAGAGAGAAAGAGAGAGAGAGGCATTGATTGGTTGACTCCCACCCTTTCCCCAATCTTGGATCGAACCCACAACCTTTTGATGTACAGGATGATGCCCCAACCTACTGAGCCATCCGACCAGGGCAGTTACCACTGTCTTAGGTAAAAGCAAATAGAATGAAGAATTGGATTGTTCTCTGCCGTGTAGACATTTCTGTTACCCCACATTCGGAGGCAACCAGCCAGGACGGCAGGCTGAGCGTTGCAGAGAAAGGCCCTTGTAGGCCAGTGGAGGCATGGAGCTGTGCCTTCTTAAACCCGTGGGGAGTCTTGCCCTGAGGAGTGTCGGATCTAGAAAATGCCCACACTCCCTCTTGTCTTCTGTTGGTCGCGTGGTGTGAGGCTGAAATGGAATCCACTTCCTATCTTAGAGCTTGCTGGTACATTTCGTCATCTTTGTGTTTTCAACTTTTGTGCATCCATGAACAGCAGGCAGGGAGGTGAGGCCACAGAACCAGGCAGCCAGGGCAAGACTTGGATTTTTGGGGTCTGAGTGGGGTATTGAGTCTACTCTGAGTGGTTTGTCTGTGTCTGTGAATAACCCAGACATCCCTGCGTCTCCTTTGACACCTGGCTCTGAATCGTTTCCTAAGTGTGCCCGGTGTCTGGTGGTCTGGGACATCACGAGGGGAGAAGGGGAGGGTGAAGAATGTGCAGTACAGGGTACATGATGACCAGAGGTGAACTACCACTCATCCAGGTGGTGCACTTAGTCTTTTGTTTATTATGTTAATCACCACAACATATATATTTTATTGATTTTTCACAGAGGAAGGGAGAGGGATAGAGAGTTAGAAACATCGATGGGAGAGAAACCTCCTCCTGGGGATGTGCCTGCAAGGAAGCTACATGCCTTTGACTGGAATTGAATTGGGACCTTTCAGTCCACAGGCCAGCGCTCTATCCACTGAGGCAAACCTGTTAGGGCCAGATCCCATGTTCTTACCATGACCCTGTACCACCTGGTCAGCCAGAGACTGTTTCCTCTGCCTTGTTCAAACACAGCGTAAGCTCAGGTGACACACCCACACATAATTTTCCTTTGTCCTCAGGCTCCACCTCTCATTTTGCCTTCCTCTCTTTCTCTATCTCTCTATTTCTCTCTCTCTCAAAAATATATTTTATTGATTTTTTACAGAGAGAAAGGGAAAGGGATAGAAAATCAGAAACATCGATGAGAGAGAAATATCCATCAGCTGCATCTTGCACACCCCCTACTGGGGATGTGCCCGCAACCAAGGTACATGCCCTTGACCGGAATCAAACCCGGGTGGGACCTTTCAGTCCTCAGGCCGATGCTCTATCCACCGAGCCAAACCGGTTTTGGCATTATTTTGCCTTTCTCTTATCAGTCCTGGGCCCTTTCCTGCCTTGGCCCTATTTTTAGAGGTGAGGGGGTGATGGGTGAAGACAGGTAGGGTGGCACTGAACCCCCAGAGACCCCAGAGTCCCAGGTTTTTGGCAGGTGGTTGCTGGCGGGAAGGTCTGTGGAACCCGGCTCGGCTCTTGGTTCTAGGCTGGCTGGTCAACCCCGTCCTGTTCTTACCTTGGGACAGGTTTCAGGCTCAGCCATGACCTTTTAGCCCAAGAACATGGAGTGCTCCCAAGGCAAACAAAACCAACCCTCTGTTCGTAGATACACAGTGACGCTTGAGGCAGCTCACTGAAACCCCTGTCTTGGGGACTGAAAGATTGGAAAGACAGAGGTGCAATCTGATGACTTCTCTGTTTCCTCTGTAGATGCGGCAGCCAGATAAGTGCCCCCTGAGGCTCAGCCTGCCCGTGCTGGCCCGGGGGCTGGGCCACCTCTTCGTGTGCTGGTGCTTGGCCGAGCTGATGGTGCACCTCATGTACATGCACGCCTTCTACGGCAGCGCCCCACTCCTGAAGGCCGTCTCCTGCTGGACCCTAGGTAATCATGGGGATCGCCGTGGGAAGGAGCGGAGCGGCAGGAGCTGGCTGCAGAGGGAAGATGGAAGGGGGATACATGGGGGTGCAGTTGTCTTGGGCAAGCCCTTTAAAAAAAAAATAAAATAAAAAAAAAAAATATATATATATATATATATTTTATTGATTTCAGAGAGGAAGAGAGAGAGAGAAACATCAATGATGAGAGCAAATCATCGATCGGCTGCCTCCCACATGCCCCCCCAATGGAGATGGAGCCTGCAACCTGAGCATGACCGGGAATCGAACCATGACCTCCTGTTTCATAGGTCGATGTTCAACCACTGAGCCACGCCAGTCGGGCTTGGCCCCTTTTTCTTGCCTACCCATCTCATTATGTCTGCACGTAGGTGGCACTGAAGTCATTTCCTCAGCAGGACTGTCTCCAGTGTAGGACTTGGCTGCGGAGAAACCACTGCTCTTTATTCCGCAGGTTACAAAAGCACTTGGCCGCGCCCCGTCCTGAAGGAAAGCTCCTCTTCTCCCCGTTTGCTCTCCTTTGGAGCACGCCCTGCATTCACCCAGTGGTCTGACCTCCAGCCCATCACTGCAATGGGGAATGTCTGATTTTCCGGCCAGATTAAGCCGCTCCCTGCTGGGGGCCAGAGTACAAGCCTGACTCTTATCTGTTTGGTGATTTATAGGTTAAAAAGACTTCCCCGATTGTCCTTGAAGTCACACGTGCTTAATCAGAGCCTTTTCTAGGAAGAGGCCTTTTTCCTGTTGGAAAAACACGGAGCTGTTTTGATGACAGTCTCTTCTTTCCAAACAAATCTTTATTCCAGTTGGAGTAATTAACGTGTTAAGCTTTTAATGGTGCGATTAGACAAAACAGACTAGGATCAGATGATGGTTTATACTACACCTAACCCCAGTTGTACTGTATTCAATTTAAGAGGCCACATCGGTTGGGGTGATTTTATTTTTTAAAATATATTTTATTGATTTTTTACAGAGAGGAAGGGAGAGAGATAGAGAGTCAGAAACATCGATCAGCTGCCTCCTGCACCTCCTACTGGGGATGTGCCTGCAACCAAGATATATGCCCTGGACCGGAATCGAACCTGGGACCCTTCAGTCCGCAGGCCGACGCTCTATCCACTGAGCCAAACCAGCCTCGGCGGTTGGGGTGATTTTAATTAATGAGTAACAACAAAGACACAACTCAAGGCGAGGCTGAAGTTAACAGTGAAGCAGAGCTGTTATCTCAACAGCCATTACCTCTCAGGCCAGCAGGGGGGCGTCCACCCAGGGACTCAGGGACTCACCGGTGATTCGCTTGTGTATCTGCCATTCATATGAAGAACTCACCAGAGTCCTAGAGGCCCCTTGTTAGTACCTGCAACCCCATCACCTTCTCTCAACCCCCTCAAATACAAGTTCATGATCCCCCCCCCCTTTTTAAAAAAATATATTTTATTGATTTTTTACAGAGAGGAAGGGAGTGGGATAGAGAGCTAGAAACATCGATGAAAGAGAAACATCGATCAGCTACCTCCTGTACACCCCCTACTGGGGATGTGCCTGCAACCAATATACATGCCCTTGACCGGAATCAAACCTGGGACCCTTCAGTCCGCAGACCAATACTCCATCCACTGAGCCAAACCGGTTTCGTCCATGATTCTCTTTTTAAAAACCTTCTTGTAAAAATGAATGAAGACTATTTTTAGAGCAGTTTTAGGTTTTCAACAATATTCAGAGGGAAGTACAGAGATTTCCCATATGTCTCCTGACTCCCGTAACCCTCGCCCACTTCCCCACAGATTCTTTCCTTATCAAACCCCACCAGAGCGGCACATTTGTTACAGCCGATGAACTTACTCTGACACATCATCCTCACCCAGAGTCCATGGTTCATGTTAGGATTTATGCTAATGTTGTAGTCCTTTTGACAGATGTATAATGACACATATCTACCGTTTATACACAGAACAATTTCGCAGCCTCAAAAAACTCTCTGCACTCTCTCTTCCTCCCTTTCTCCCCCCCCCCCTCAACCCCGTTCATTTCTGATCTTTTTATCATCTCCATAGCCTTACCTTTTCTAGAACGTCCTACAGTTGGCGTCATACGGTATGCAGCTTTTTCAAAAAGTTATTTCATTTGATAATGTGGATGTAAGGTTTATCCATGTCTTTTCATGACTATAGCTCCGTTATTTTTGTGCTGAATATTATTCCATGGCCGGTGTGCAACACGTGTTATTTATCCATTCACCCACTGAAGGGCCTGTTCGTTGATTCTGAGGTTAGTAATTGTGAATAAGGATGCTACAAGCATCTGTGTGCAGAGTTTGTGTGGACAGGAAGTTTTCAGTTCCTTTGAGTAAATTCCAAGGAGTGCAATTTCAGGATTGTACGTTGAGAGAATGATTATTTTTGTAAGAAACTGCCAACTATTTTTCCAAAGTGGTTGTTCCATTTTGCATTTTCACCAGTTGTGAATGAGTTCGTGTTGCTCCATGTCCTTGCCAGCATTTGGTGTTATCAGTGTTTTGCATTTAGGCCATCCTACTAGGTGTGTAGTAGTATCTTGCTTTAGTTTGCAATTCCCTATTCACATATGATATGTGGAGCATCTTATCATGTGCTTATTTTCAGTGGTGGCCCTGAAGTTTGCAATATATTTACAACTAACCCATAAGGATAGTTTCACCATATACAGAATTTTAGGTTGGTATTTTTTTCTTTAAACACTATAAATATTTCACTCTTCTCTCTTCTTGCTTGCATAGTTTCTGAGGAAAAGTTAGATGTTGTTCTTATCTCTGTTTACCTATAGGTTAGTTGTTGTTTTTTCTTCCTCTGGCTTCTTTCAGGATTTTCCCCATTTATCTTTGATTTTCTGCTGTTTGAGTATAATAAACCTAGGGGTAGTTTTGGGGGCATTTATTCTGCTTGGTGGTCTCTGAGCTTCTTGGATCTTTGTTTTTTGTGTGGGACATTAATTTGGGGAAATTTTTAGTCATTATTGCTTTAAATACTGCTCCCCATTCTCTCTCTATTTATTCTCCCTCTAATATTTGTGTTCAGGTATGTTCATGACCAGGCTATGGCTGGAGGTCTTATACATCAGATAGTCACCACAGACAGCACTGGAGGATTTTCCCTCAGCAGCAAACACGCCTGTGCACATATATGTCAGCTGTCGATGCCTCTGAGGCCAGAGCAAAATGCAAAGATTAGGGTACCTTGTCCTGCAAAAAAAGTTACTATGCAGCTGGGAAGATAGGCAGATAGAACCACTCAAACCATCAAGTCCCTAAAAATCCGTGACCATGATCACTTCTAGCCGTTGGAGTTAACCATTGTCTTCAGATTCCCAGCCATTCTCCCTTCCGAGAGTCTCATGTGGATAAAGTCTGCAAGGAAAAGGGACTAGTCAAGGTGTGTTAACATTTCTTACCACTGCGCTATTTGACTTGTGTGAAGTGAGACCTAATTTTTGGGTATTTTTGGATGGTTAGAACTCCACCGAGAAACAAGTATGATGAATTATTTCCTTCCAGCGTTTCTAGTAGGAACTTGGGCTTACTCTGTGTCATAACAAAAAAAACCCCCAAAAACAAAAAACCAAGGCGCAGGATCTGATTATGCTAGCAAATCTCTTTCCTTTTCTGTGGATCTACAAACAAGACCTTAAGTGCCATTTGCTTTGTGCTCCTAATCCTCTATTCCATCTCCAGCCACATTAGTGTAAGCTCTGTTGCAAATATCATGAACCATGGAATCTTGGGGATGGAAACTAGAAACTTCAGAGAGCACTCCGTTCAAGGCCCTCTTCTTACATCATCCTGGGGCAGCTCCTGGGAAGCACAGGCCTGAAGCACGGACTGGACTGATGGAGCCAGTGCCCCGAATGGTTGTCCAAGGCAGCGGAATAGGGGCTAGAGTTTGAAAGTCCAATGAGATTTGAGGTGGATAACCAGGGTCATGAGAATCGGAGGCTGTTCTGAATTGCTGGAACAGAATTCTGCAGGTGAAGGTTCCGTTTAGAAGTAATACTGACTAAGCCAGATGATTAAATTTAAACCTTGGGTTACAAGACAGATTAAAAATGATCACAGGGAGACTGCATGGAAATGATAAGTATGCTGGCTTCCCCAGACTTCTGCCTGTAGGGAGTTGAAGCTGATCAAGGACAAAGACATGAGCATGAGGTGGCAGTCGCACACACAAGCTTTATTTGGGTGATGCTCTGAGGGGTTTGCATTTGGGGGAATTGCACCTAATTCTATCTCAGAGCACCGAATGCAGTGGTTCTCAACTTTTCTAATCATAATTTAAGTATCTGTGTTTTCCGATGGTCTTAGGCAACCCTGCTAGTGGTTCTCAACCTTCGCGACCCACAGGTTGAGAACTGCTGCTGTAGAGCCTAAGACAATGAGAAAACACAGATATTTACATGACAATTCATAACAGTAGCAAAGTGACAGTTATGAGGTAACAACGAAAGTAATTTTATGGTTGGGGGTCACCACAACATGAGGAACTGTATTAAAGGGCCGCGGCATTAGGAAGGCTGAGAACCACTGTCCTAATGGGACGCGGTGCATGAAGGCACTCCTAGCTGAGGACGGGGCGTCCTGAGGCACCCCGGGGGCATGGCTGATGATCTGTGGCAGTGATTTGAGCGGCAGTGTTTGTACAGGTCAGAAAGGTGTGTTGTCTTTTGTTTTGACATGGAGTGTAGAGGGTGTTTCTGGAGATATATCGAGAGGTAGAGGGATTGACTGATACCTAGTTGGCCAAGGACACTCTTGGGTCTTGGCAAAGCAAGTCTCATCGGGGGGACTCCTCAGTCCTGGGCGGACTGGGACCATTGGTCCCTCCATATGAGAACTCAGAATTGAGTACAGAGCAAATGTAAGTGGTGCTTTTGCAGGACCAAACATATGCTTTAAGATTGCGTTTATGATACACAATAGTTTGGCGAAGGCCTGGGGTGGGGCAGGAATCAGGT